CCCCTGCGGTATGCAGCACACCCGCCTGGGCTGCGGTCGTAGCCGCGATGGATCGTAAAGGTCTTCCCCTCGGTGATGCGGTGCTGGACCTCCACGATCCTTACGTCGGAACGGGCGGCATCATCACCAAGCAAACGGAAGCTTGTTGTTGTTTCCATGGTCCATGGGAAAAAGGGGAACATCGCAGAATATGCGTGGCTTGGTCGTCACGCATCGTTTACCTCCCCGGCCACCACAGAAGGCTGTTGGCAGCATTTGTTCAAGGCAAGCGGTTACGTATGAGTTGCCTATGTCCCTCGAGTCGCGGTCTGGAGAAGCAAGTTCTTTCACCAAGCACCTCCACTCAGCCTCTAGCGAAGCTCCCACAAGCTTTTGGTTGACCCCAGCGACCTTTGGAGGCACAGTCCTCAGCCTCCAACCACACAACTTCAAGTCGAATCTTTGGACAAACCAGGTGTGCCTGGGATTTATATAATTACATGTCCGCCAACCATGGTTGAGGGTGCTCCCCTTTAGTACTCTGAGCGATTCAGGAGCGAAGCTTGTTTCTGCAAGAGCCTCTAGTGCCCAGGCGCTTCATGGAACCGTTCCACTCTGCAAGCGCCACACCTCAGCCAAACGCACCCACTCGAAACGTAGAAGTGGCATCAACATGCGTTGGACCGTGTAAATAAGTTGGACCCTTTGTCGATGCTTCGAAAAGAGAATCGACGTTAAACCAGCCATTGGGAGGGGGCCCCAGGTTGACGCATGACGCATCATGCCCATGTGTCAGTATTCTGCACATGGAAACTGAATTTGAGACGCAGTGGCGCGCCTTCAATATTCTGGACATGCCCCCGCCAACGACACACCAGTTGCCCTGTGACTTTGCTGTGGTTCGACAAGGTTCTAAAAGCGGAGGTTGACTTGTTGCTGTGGCAGCGATCAAGGCGGCATAAATAACAAACTTATTTGGAGGAACTCCCACGTCATTCGCGTCGCTTGTTGGACGGGGGAACGGAATGCAGAATGCCAAGGTAAAATTTTGACAACTAAGCCGTGACCCCATTCAAACTTATAGTATCGTTTTGGAACGTATCTCCCCAGGAAAGGATTCTGGCAACATTGCCTCTAGGTCAGCCCCGTCGACAGGGAGCAGGAACAAGGCACCTGGCCCCGTGACGTGACAGCATTGTGCTTCCGTTTCCGTTTGCTCTCATCGTCGACGGATCAGCTGCAGTGGGCGAATCCGTGGGGTAAACCCGGTAGAATCCTGAACTACTTCCGGAGGTCTGACGCATTCGTAGACGCCCATTCGTTGTTCTACCTCCCCGGGTCTTGGCGGGTTCCATGGCATCAAGACAGTTGCGCACTGGGCTGTGGCTCGCTCTGGTTTCCACATCGCACCTTGTTCTGCCCACGGGCACGGCTGATGCTGCTGGGCCACGCCCAGTTTGCCGTGGTATCTTCAGCCGTTTCAACCACCGACACAGTCACGAATTCCTAATGGATCTTGCAAAATCGAACCTGTGAAAGAATATGAGCATCGATAGGAATAGATACCATGGCGATTGAAATGACAACAAAGAGAAGGAACTACAACAGCCATTACCACTCGAAGGCTAGGAGCAAAATGGCTTATGCGGGCCACTGTCATGCCTGCCTTAATTAATGGGAATCCATAGCGTAAAGTTGCTAAGGGGTTGATGACCTAGCAACCCACAGCAAAGGACTCCAAGGTCCGAGCTCCGAGCTCCGAGCTCCGAGCCCGGGCATGTTCGTTTTTTGCCGGGCCGCTGCACTTGATGACAGGGGACCTCATGGACACGGTCTTCGTCTGCTCCCGGATGAGCGTGAACTCCTCCAAAGGCCATCTCTGGTCCCATTTCGCAGAGCCTCTGTACAGGAAGGATCACCTTTGAAGTCGGTTGTTGGGGGAACTCTTTCGTGGGTTTGAGGGAGACTTCTGCGCGATGCGCGATGCGGCGGAGGAGCGCATCGCAAATCCGGCGACCAAACCTCATAGAATCCGCAGATAGGGGGAGAACCACTAGGAGAGACAAACAGAGAGTGACCTGATTTTCCGGGAAGCAGCAAATCTGCAGGGCTCTTTCAGGCAACTTCCACAATAATTTTGTTGGCTCGTCTGCCTGAACTGCTCCACGCCCCGAATGACCAGCCCTTGCCAGGCTGGTCCCTGTGCTATTCTTGACAACAGTTTGGAAGACCTCCAAGAGGAGATCTGCACCTTTTAGGAAGACCATGCGTGTCTCCAAGGTCGCCTTAAAATCTTCAGGGGAACGCTCTGTGCCACATCTCTCCCCAGACCGGGGCCCTCCTGGTAGGGCTTGGAGGTGGCCAAAATGGACTTCTTCAACTCTTGCACCCGCCGCGTATGGCGCTGCCCCGCCTCAAAAGCGAAAGCGCGCCGTTGAGAGGCAGGCCACAAGCCGTTCACATCTTGTGAGGCCAATAGATCGCACGGCTACCATGGAAACTTCTACGCTGGCTGGTGCTTGCTGCGTTTGCCATTGCACAAAGGCAACGGCCCAAAGTCTGAGATGCTGGGCATGGGTCATGGGCTTTCTTCCTCATGACTTCACTGCAAAAGTAACCATTCATACAACACTATCCGACCCACGCCCACCACACACATGAGCATGCCATGAACCAGCAAACCTGGGCATGGCAATCTAGGGATGCCCGAAGGGCCTGCAACTCATGCCCAGTCCTCGAAAGGCGATTCGCATTAAACGGCAACTGCTGGAAGCATTGCTTGCACCACAAGATGTTCGTGACAGGAGAAATGCCCCGAGGCCCGATGCCTTGCCCACTGTGGGGATGCCGTCGTCCATCTTCCACTCTTCCAGCTGTGCCACGCCTGCCAGCGCTCCAGCCAATTCTTTGTGCTTCTTTTTTGCCAGAGGGGGGTTGGTTTGTTGTATTCGCCGCCAGGGGGTGGCTGAATGACCCCATGCATGACCATGCATGAGCTGGCACGCAAAAGAGCTGCACATGTAGCCCAACGTATTCATATTGCTTTCCATCTCCAACCCATGTGGGCGAGTAGGACTGGAAAGAAAAGGATGATCTGTTTATGCTTGGCTGGACTTGGGCTCGGGTGTCTGAATTGAACCCAGAGAATATGCGCAATCAGTCAACAAACAGTGGATATGCTGACTGGAGACTCCTTTGCTTGACAATGATTGCATCCATGATCAGTCTGATGGTCACCGGTGGCTTCCCTATGAAACATGCTGAATGCATCGTCGAAGCGTGCTGTGACCGCGGAGCTTTGTCAACTGGTGTCTGTGCGCATGAGGAAATCAAGCTCCTTGGACCCAAAAGCCCAAACGGTTTTGTTGCCTGTTTCAAACAGAAAAAGAAAAGAAACCAAAAGCTCAACCTCCTTTTGGCTTCCCTAAGGTGGCCATGCGGTTGTTGAAACAGGTTTTGGCCAAGGGCCTGTGGCAAGTGACATCTCTTGCCAAGCCTTCCGGATCCTCCTCCAGCAAGATCCGAACCTTGGTTTTGTGAACAGCTGCTGGGCAACAGAAACTTGTCCACACCAGAAACACAGTGTAGAAAGTGCACAAATTCGTAGCACACAAAAAACCGGCTGAATTGTCAGCTGTGCAATCTCAAGCCTTCGCCAAAAAAACTCGATATATCACAACTCCCTATTCCCGCAGCCCACCAGCCAAGAAGCGGGTCCAGCTGAATCGTTGCACACAGTGATCGGATAGGTCGTCGCGGTCAATTTCTCGATCTGGTTCATGCCTCTGCGGGCTGAGAGAATCGAAGACTCCGCCGTTCTCCCACGAGGTGAGCCGAAAAAAAGAGTGGCTGTGTGTCAGCCTGTCACGTGGCAAGAGTTGGAATCCCCTTGTGGTGTTGCACAGCTTTGGATGGCTCCCCTATGTCCGTGCAGCCAAATATCTGGCTCAAGTGCAATGGGGTTTCAGCCTGAAAATCCTAGCAAAGCACCGTTTGTTGGCCAATGTCTCCATTTGCCAAGCTGCCAGCATTGGCGGCCTTGCGAATGAAGCTCAACGCCATGGCGGGCGAAAATCGAAGCTATCCAGGTTGGCTTTTGGCCTAAGGGATTGACTTTCAGCTTTGCAGCGTGGTTTCCTGACATTCCCATCTGAGGCTCAAGGGCAATCCCTTTGGCGACTTCGGCTGGCACCCTGGCGCCCACTGCGCTCCTCCTTTGGTTCGAGTCACACTCTTCCTTGGGCTTTTCGGCCCAGAAGCTGCAAAGCACCTTGGGCCCTCGGCCATTGGCTGAAAAAAATGATCAGATTCGGCGAAACCTTATCTGCTCAGAGGCTACAGGGTCCTGTCTGGAGATGAGAAAAAACTTTGCAAAATTGAAAGCCTGCTCGCACTGCGCCAAGCCCGTGGCTTTGTACATGTATTGCCCTCCATGGTTTGGTGCACAGATATATTTTTCTAGAGGCAAGTAGTCTTGTGAACAAAAACACATGTCCATGCTTGTTGGTGGGAGGGTACTTGTGGCATTCTGCTCAGTCGACACGATATGCCCATGGACGGAACTTCAATCTAAGTCAAACTTTGGTTCATTCGTGATTTGACTTTTGGCGTCGTGCCATACCCAGATACCCAGGAGAATCTAGGGATAGAATGGGCCAACCATCAAACGCGGTTTAACAGTGGAAAAGCTGACTCCCCGAATCAGCAGAACATGGCCGGAGAAAGACTGGTGATAATATTGCATTACCACCTACTTCTCACACTTCGATCTAGAATTATGGTGCCTGAAAAAACAACCTTTGACAACCAAACAGTGAACTCTTCCCCCCGCTTCACAAATGAAAACTGCCACTTCGCCACGCGTCTCTTTGAGTGTTCGAGGCGACGTTTGTTTGCTCTCACCAAAAAAAAGAACGACCAGACCTCCCCACCAAACCAACTCCAACCCTTTTGGATCCCCCGCCGCCGGCCTCGCACCCACCCCCCACCCCACCCCCCGCGTTCCTTGCGGGCGCCCGGGCGCTGCTCTGCGGGCAGGTGGCCTCCACCAGGCCCAGGGCCACACTCAGCGCGGCCCCCGTGCACCTGGGACTCGCCTTTGACTTTTCCCGGGGCTGTCCAATCTCCATGGGCAAACTGGGACTGAAGGATCAAAAAGAAAATAGACTTGTAGCAGTGATAGTAGTAGTAGCAGTGATAGTAGTAGCAGTAGTAGCAGTAGTAGTAGAAGGACATTCCATTCCCCAGGCAGGTCCCTTGGGGATGTTTTCTCCGAGGGGTGTGGCTCCCACGGGTGGTGCATTTTTCCCCATGGGTGCGTTGTTCCACGGCTTGCCTGTAGCGGATGGTGGACAGAGGACCAAAAATCAACCCCCCTCCTGTTGGTTTGGAGGGTTTGGAGGGTTTGGAGGGTTTGGAGGGTTTGGAGGTTTGGAGGTTTGGAGCTTAGGGGCCAGCTGAAAAACGGTTTGGATTTGTGGTTTGGAGGTTCGGGGTTACCAAAAGAAGGGGGGAACCCAAAAAAGGAACCGGAAAAGAAGGGTTTGCCAAAAACAGGCTGGGGTTTGGGGCGCGCAAATTATACCAGGGGAGCGTGTACGCCCATGCACCGAAGGCAAAGCGCGTTTTAACAACATGTGGTCATAAGACAGCTTTACAAAACGAGCTGGAGCAAAAAGGGAACGACGCGCCCCGAAAGGTTGCGTTGAGCAAAGTGTCCAGGAAGCCTGTGGCCTCAACCGTGAAAGATCTCGGTCTGACTGGGCTTTGCACGTGAAACTCCTGTTTGGAAAACTTTATTGGAAAGGACCTGCTTTGAATGGCTCGGAATCAATTGGATTCCCTCCAAAGCATCGCCACCAAAAAGAGCACAGAGCCTCAAAGTGAGACACCCCCTTATGTGCCATGGTCAACACTCCTGGGCCGTGTGGTTTCGTAGGACTACCATGTTTGTCAAAGGGGTTGATGACGCTCCCTAACCCCAAGCAAAACAGTGGTGTTCTGACTGGCCTCATGATACCATCATCAAAGTCACCACCCCACCACCCCACCCCACAAGCGGCAGGTCGGTAGGTCAAAGGGAAACAACGCCACCCCACCCCGTCGCCTAAATGGCCGGCGGTCGTGGCCGCCCGGAGGCCAAGCATCCCGGGAGAGGTCGTCCAGCAGCGAGTTCAGCGTGAACCTCTTCGCACCGCCCAGCACAAGCTGCCCACGTGTGCGTACATAAAACTATACATACATATATATGTGCTGTGCTGTGAGATATCATTATACGACCATGGCAGGGGGGGGGGGGTCGGGGGGTTGCTGACCTGTATGGTATATAAATATAATATAGAGGTTTTGCCCATTCAAACCACCAAAATAAAAATCACTCAACATGGTTGGAACCTGCCAGATCGGGCTAAAGGACCTAGCCCCAAGAAGTTGATTCGCAAGGCACTGGGAAAGCTTCAGCTTGGGGCTCGCAATGAAACTGGGCGGTCGCAAAACGCTTCTTACGGCGGTCGTTTCACTGGATAGGCTCCAGGCTCGCACTCCGCCACAGGCAGCAAAAATCTCCTGCTCGCAAACCCAGACTGGCCACGGAGAGATGTTGCCGCAGATGGGACATTTCGTGGGTCCACCCATGTCCCTCCGGAATGGACCGTAGACAGGATATGTTGACCGAACCTCGAACCTCAAATGGGCCTTTCCCCCAAAAAAAAATCTAGTGATGTGGCCAATTCGTTGCCACATCGTGCAAATAACAACTGCGGAGTCTGCAAAATTCCGACCGAATATGGAAAGTCAAACCAGCGACCAAAAACTCTCTATGGGTGACTGACCTTCAACACCCACATGTTCAAAGGGCCCTCCAGCAACTGCCCTCAAAGACAAACAGACCTCTTGCAAGGGCCCACCATCGATTGCAAAGTGGCTCTTGCGAAGAATCTGCGCCGAAAATCCCTGCCTTCCCAGCTCAGAACCGCCGGAGGTTCCCCATTTCGAAACCAAAGTGGACTTGACAAGTCTGATGAAAGCCCAGTCCTGGCTGCTTGCGCGCCCATGGTGCCCCTGGGGTCGTTCTTCAGGGCGAAGCCAAGCTGGTAGGCCACCTGCACGTCAGCTTCTGCCTCTGCTACTTTAGGAGAGCGGATGACGCGTCTTGTGATGAACTTGGGTCTTCCCCCAAAGATGCTGGGTCCACAAAAATCCACAAAAAAACACAAATCCCAGGATGAAAATCCACAAAAATGGTGGGTCCACCTTTGTTGCCCAACCAGCCGGTGATGGCTTGGCGAACGCAGTAGATGCAGCCACTGCAACATGCTGTGGTGTCTTTCACAGCCCGCTGAAGTTGGCATCACTCCTGGCGTCCCTGCTGGGCCCCGCCCCTATCAGGCACAGGATGTCACTCATTCGCGAAGTCTCCCAATCTACCAACACCATGTCACAAAATACAGGGCGACTGGACTTGTGTTTGGGACCGTCGGTCACCTTCATCTACCCAGGTGTTGATTTTGGCTCTTAACAATCTGTTCCAAACTTAGAGACCAGAAAAATAACATTCGAAAGTGGGGAGACCCATCCAACTTGGCACATTGAGCACAGCCATGTCTTCAAACATGAGATCAAGAACATCCCCATCCACGGCGTGACAACTTAACTGTCACGCAAGCCTGCTGGGCTGTATACTCCTTGCCACCCCTGAAGGCGTAGGCCTGAAATCTGCCGAATGGGGGGGGGGGGCGCACGAGGGGTACGGGTGTCTGCTATGGGGCACCCGGCAAAATGGGTTTGGTCTCTCTTGAAAGCCAAATTAGGGGAGGGATTCTCGGGCAAAAATGCTAGGTGTCGAAAATGCAGGAAACACCCACGTGGAGCAGAGTGAAGCCTCCAATGTCTCCCCCAGAGATGAAGAAAGCGAAAGCAAGAAAGAAAGAAAGAAAGAAAGAAAGAAAGAAAGAATGAAAGAAAGAAAGCAAGAAAGCAAGAAAGAAACTAAGAGGAAAAGAAAGAAAAAGAGAAAGAGAGAGAGAGAGAGAGAAGAAAAAAAAGGTGCGTGAAACGGGGGGAGGAAAGGAAGGAAGGAAGGAAGGAAGGAAGGAAGGAAGGAAGGAAGGAAGGAAGGAAGGAAGGAAGGAAGGAAGGAAGGAAGGAAGGAAGGAAGGAAGGAAGGAGGAAGGAAGGAAGGAAGGAAGGAAGGAAGGAAGGAAGGAAGGAAGGAAGGAAGGAAGGAAGGAAGGAAGAAACAAGCAAGCAAGCAAGCAAGCAAGCAAGCAAACAAACAAGAAGGCAAGCAAGCAAGAAAGAAAGAAAGAAAGAAAGGGAAACAACATACAGAGAGACAGAGAGAGGAGAGAGCGGGAGGAAGGGAGGGAGGGGAGGGGAGGGAAGGGAGGGGAGGGAAGGGGAGGGGAGGGAGGGGAGGGGAGGGGGAAAGGGGAGGCGGAGGGGGAGGGGAGGCGGAGGGGGGGGAAGGCGGAGGGGAGGCGGAGGGTGAGGGTAGGCGGAGGAGGGGAGGGTAGGCGGAGGGGAGGGGAGGCGGAGGGGAGGGGAGGCGGAGGGGAGGGGAAGGGAGGGGAGGGGAGGGGAGGGGAGGGGAGGGGAGGGGAGGGGGGAGGGGAGGGGGAGGGCAGGGGAGGGGAGAGGGGAGGCAGGGGAGGGGAGGGGAGCGGAGGGGAGGGGAGGCGGAGGGGAGGGGAGGCGGAGGGGAGGGGAGGCGCAGGGGAGTTGCCAGGACCAATGCCTCCCCCTAAATAAATGAAGTCGGGTCTTCATGCTGGATGCTTTGTTTCTTGACTACTACTGTTCAATTTCCGGAACTGATAACCTTTTAGGTTCGCTAGTTCACAAACTCGTATGGCTTTGGCTCCCCCAGACGCATCTTCGGCGAGCTGCCACTGTTCAAGGCTGGGAAATCTGCAATGGAGCCTATACACCCTCTCAGGCTGTTTTGGCTGTAAGGTTGATTGGACCTGGCTGGAAGCCTGGCTTTTGACTTGTTTACTGCCTGCTTGAAAGCTCTCTTTGGGGCCCTTCCGTACAATGTCCGCTTGCCTTTGGCGGACTCTGTTACAGCTGAGCCACGCAACGAAACAGAAAGCCCCGCATTTGCACGGCATAACATCAAACGCCATGCGTCCTGTGGCCTGGGCGCGTGGCGCAGTGGTGCTGGTGTTGCCGGTGGTCGTTTGTTTCATCCGTCTAACAACAAACAGCCGGCAAGAGAACATAATATGCACCCGAAGAGCCTCGGTAACTTCCAACTACCCACCCCTTGAACTTGGCTCTCTCACCCAAAACCCACCCTCCAGCGCTTTTGGCCGCGCAGGTCTTTGCAGAGCTGTGAGGCCAACTGGTAACTCGCCTAGAGCCTAGAAACCGCAGGCGGGGGTTGGTAGGCGTGGTACATGGCATGATCGGAATCCCTGCAAATTGAGTTCGTATTACCAGAGCTCGATGTTTTCATTATCTTGTTCGCTCCTCGCGAATTTAGAAACAACCCCCTTCCCCCGCCTTTCACACGGTGCCCTGCACTTTGTCGGGCTCACGGGCGCCGTCGCCCGACGCACCATGGGAAGGCCAATGCCCTCGTTGGGTCTCGGTGAAAACACCAAGCTTCGCTTTTCCCCTTCCGGAAAGGAGTTGCGTTCGGAGACCCAGGCTTCACTAACCTCAGTCCAACCCTTGCCTGTGACACACATCTGTGGTTGGGGATCTGGGCCATTCCAGTCTCCAAAGGCCCAGGCAAGCCTGGACAAGCAGCCCCAAAGTGCTGGGCCTGGGTAGGGGTTTCCAACATGTTGGGTGCACCGAGAGCCGGGGAGTCCGGGAATTTGAATGTCAAACGTCTCGAGCATTTCAGCTCGTTCGTTTTAATCTTCGCAACTTCAGCCAGCCCAAGTTCGCGTACACGTTGGCAGGAGGCACGGTGTCCTCAAGCGCGCACGCGGCAAAATTTGCGAACGCAGAGATCAGGCAAGAAAATAACGCGCCGTGGGTCGCACATGTTCGTGAGCCAGGTGTGAGTGCCAGCGCCGCGTCTTGTTAAATGTGGAGGCTCCTGGCCCCGAGGCGGAGGGGAGGGGAGGGGAGGAGAGGGGAGGCGGAGGGGAGGGGAGGGGAGGGGAGGGGGGGGGGGAGGGGAGGGGAGGGGAGGGGAGGGGAGGGGAGGAGGGGGAGGGGGAGGGGAGGGGGGGAGGGGAGGGGAGGCGGAGGGGAGGGGGAGGGGGAAGGGAGGGGGGAGAGAGAGAGAGAGAGGGAAACAGCGAGAGGAAGAAAAAAGGAGAGAGAGAGAGAGAGAGAGAGAGAGAGAGGGAAACAGCGAGAGGAAGAAAAAAGGAGAGAGAGAGAGAGAGAGAGAGAGCGAGCGAGCGAGCGAGCGAGCGAGCGAGCGAGAGCGAGAGCGAGAGAGCGAGAGAGGGAGAGAGAAGGGAGAAGGGAGAAGGGAGAGGGAGGGGAGACGGGAGACGGGAGACGGGAGACGGGAGACGGGAGACGGGAGACGGGAGAAGGGAGACGGGAGACGGGAGACGGGAGACGGGAGACGGGAGACGGGAGACGGGAGACGGGAGACGGGAGACGGGAGACGGGAGACGGGAGACGGGAGACGGGAGACGGGAGACGGGAGACGGGAGACGGGAGACGGGAGACGGGAGACGGGAGACGGGAGACGGGAGACGGGAGACGGGAGACGGGAGACGGGAGACGGGAGACGGGAGACGGGAGACGGGAGACGGGAGACGGGAGACGGGAGACGGGAGACGGGAGACGGGAGACGGGAGACGGGAGACGGGAGACGGGAGACGGGAGACGGGAGACGGGAGACGGGAGACGGGAGACGGGACGGGAGACGGGAGACGGGAGACGGGAGACGGGAGACGGGAGACGGGAGACGGGAGACGGGAGACCGGGAGACGGGAGACGGGAGACGGGAGACGGGAGACGGGAGACGGGAGACGGGAGACGGGAGACGGGAGACGGGAGACGGGAGACCGGGACCGGGACCGCGAAAGCGACAGCGACAGCGACAGCGACAGACAGAGACAGAGACAGAGACAGAGACAGAGACAGAGACAGAGACAGAGACAGAGACAGAGACAGAGACAGAGACAGAGAAAAAAGAGAAAGAGAAAGAGAAAGAGACAGAGAAAGAGAAAGAGAAAGAGAAAGAGCAAGAAAAAAGAGAAAGAGAAAGAGAAAGAGAAAGAGAAAGAGAAAGAGAAAGAGAAAGAGAAAGAGAAAGAGAAAGAGAAAAAGAAAAACAAAAAACAAAAAAAAAAAAAGAAAAAGAAAAAGAAAAAGAAAAAGAAAAAGAAAAAGAAAAAGAAAAAGAAAAAGAAAAAGAAAAAGAAAAAGAAAAAGAAAAAGAAAAAAGAAAAAGAAAAAGAAAAAGAAAAAGAAAAAGAAAAAGAAAAGAGAGAAAGAGAGAAAGAGAGAAAGAGAGAAAGAGAGAAAGAGAGAAAGAGAGAAAGAGAGAAAGAGAGAGAGAAAGAGAGAAAGAGAGAAAGAGAGAAAGAGAGAAAGAGAGAAAGAGAGAAAGAGAGAAAGAGAGAAAGAGAGAAAGAGAGAAAGAGAGAAAGAGAGAAAGAGAGAAAGAGAGAAAGAGAAAGAGAGAGAAGAGAGAAAGAGAGAGAAAGAGAAAGAGAAAAGAGAAAAAGAGAAAGAAAGAGAAAGAGAAAGAGAAAGAGAGAAAGAGAAAGAGAAAGAGAAAGAGAGAAAGAGAAAAAGAGAAAAAGAGAAAAAGAGAAAAAGAGAAAAAGAGAACAAGAGAAAAAGAGAAACAGAGAAACAGAGAAAAAAAGAAAAAGAGAAAAAGAGAAAAAGAGAAAAAGAGAAAAAGAGAAAGAAAAAGAAAAAGAAAAAGAACAAGAAAAAGAAAAAGACAAAGAAAAAGAAAAAGAAAGGAGAGAGAGAGAGAGAGACAAAGAGAAACGAAGAGTAGACCAAAAGAAACGAAGAGAGACATAGAGAGACATAGAGAGACAGAATTTAAATAAAAGAGACCAAAGAGACGCAGAAGAGAAAAAAGAGACGAAGAGAGAGCAAAGAGACACAGAGGACAAAGAGACAAAGACAGAACCGAGAGACAACCAGAGACAAACAACGACGAAGAGAGACAAAAAAAGAGACGAAGAGAGACAAAGAGATACAAAGAGGAATGAGACAAAGAGAAATGAAAGACAAAGAGAGACAAGAGCAGATAGGCGACTCGGCCAAGCACAAGTGACCATCCCACCACACATCGAGTCTCGCTAGGGGCAAACACCTAAGCACGTGGGTGTGTTTTTTTTCAGAAATACGGAAAGCCACGCAGCCACCCAGCCAACTCAATCAATGTAACTCGCCTTGGGCAGCGTTGTGGAGGCCAGCTCATGCACATAGCACCTCAGTCACGGCCCCAAATGGGTGCGCTTAATGTGAGAGGCATTCACATCCTGTGGTCGTTGGAATTTGTGTACCTCCCGCCACGTGCAAAAGGCCCCCTTTTTGTTGTCCACAACTGGCAACCTGGCGAATCCCAAGCAATCTTCTCACCTTCTCACCTTCCCCCCGGGTCCATGAAAGCAACATCCCAAAAGAATGCCCAAATGTTGGTTTCAAGGGGTTCCCTAACCCTTGAATGCACCCAGCTACGTACGCCCCCTCCCCATCCCGCGACCTGGGATTCCCCGCATCGCGCCAAAGGTTATGAAGCCCACCAAGGCGTTCTGCGGCATCATCGCCAGGGACTGCTGCAGCGAGTCCTTCCGCTGGAAAAAACTGGAAAAGGTCCATGCCAATCAATAGGATCGCTGCCACTGGAACATGACTTCACTTCGTGATTCAGTGATTCCTCTGACCATACCAGAGTATAACAAAAGATAGCGCGTCTTGCGGTAAATCAAGGCAGCTCAAGGCGAGTCTGGTCAGTATAGTCCTCCCGAGAAATCCGATGGCACCGTTCGGCATGGGAATTTCGAGACCATGAAATCTGATGGACAAGCCTCCATGCCAAGTTGCACACACCTTCTGGAACTATTTCATTGTTTCTCAAAGCGATGTCATGAATGTCCATACACTGAGCGACCGCCCCTCCAAACTGCCGGACACTGTGGCTCCTTCGCCTGATCCAGCTCCTCCTCAATGAGGGCGATGTCCAAAACTATCAGAAAAACCGGCCTCGGGTTGCTCGGCTTAGGGCTTCCTGGGCACTGAACTCTTCTTCGCCGCTCTTCCACCTTCCGCAAACCAGAAGAGCGGACCGCCAAGCTAAGTCCATGGCGGCTGGCAAACAACCTGCGGGATGATGTACTCAATGGTGCAGCACCTCGAAGCATACGCACTTCCAGCGTTTTCGAAAGCTAACGCTTCCTCCCGTACAATCTGCTGCAGGAATGGGTGACTCATGATGCTCCCAACCCCCTTCCGAAGTGCAAAAGGCGATGAAAAGGCAGCAGTTCTTTCCTGGCAGCTCCGATCCTCCAAACAGCAACGACCGGCCGTTCATGCGCCCAAGCCCCTGACATTTGCAGCAACTCAGCGGGCAAGTTGGTCTCTGTGATGTGGTCCGCATAATGCCTAGCACGCTTGCGGGTGCGCCTTTTTGCGGCGGTCCTTTTTCGAAGGCTAAATTTTGAAGGCGGCTGGGGCCCTCTCGGCTTTCTTCGCAAAAAGGACCCCCAGCTTTGACAGATCGCCGTCAAAGACTGTCATCTTCGCGAGAAGTCGACATGTCACTAGGAGACTGGTGCTGCCTACCATCCATTGAGGCCCGGGCTGAGGAAAACGATTGCGCTGGTGGCAGAATGGGCACGTCCAACCTGTGCTCTGACAGTCAAACAGTTCTCTTGGCTTCAGAGTCACCAGCTCAAATCACTCAGCCCAACTCCTGTGCGTCCCAATCAAACCAGACTCCAACACCCCACTGCATGCAGAGTGTCATGACCCGCTTGGTAGCCTCTCACTTGCTTGCGAGTGCACGTATATCAGTACGTAAGACAATGTGTGTGTGTGTGTATATGCATACATACAATGCTGTGTATAGATGTACGTGTATATATATATATATATATATATATATATATATATATTATATATATATATATATTATTATTATTATTAAATTTACATATACTATATATATACATATATATATATATGTTTTTCTATATTATACAATACCGCTCAGTGACTATGGTCAGCATGATGCCTGCAATGGTTGAGATTGAGATTGGCTGGTCAATATTGTGGGATGCTCGGGATTGTTCAGGGTGAGCACAGCGTGGTTAAGAGTTAGTTGAAGTTTCAGTGCAAATTTCGGGTTGGTCAGGGTTAGACCTAGGGCAGGTTTAGGGTTGTGTTAGGATTCTTTGGAGTGGGATTCCGGTCGGTTGGCTTTGTGCTGTTCAAGTCTTGTTTATGGCTGACTTGGGGTAGGCTGGTGTATTGCATTGCACTACATTACATTACATTACAACACATTACATTGCAGTACATTAGATTACATTAGATTACATTCGATTACATTAGATTACAATGCATTATTAGAATACCTTGCATTGCATTACATCGCTTTGCATGACATTACATTGCATTGCATTGCGTTGCGATGCACTACATTGCAGTGCATTATATTGCATCGCATTGCCGACCCTTTGCATTAAATTACATTACACTGCACATTGCATTGCCCTACATTGCACTATGTTACATTGCACTGCGTTGAGTTGCATTGCATAGCAGTACATTACAGTACGTTACGCTGTATTGTGCTTCATTGCGTTGACATTTGATTTCATGGCATTGCGAAGCATCCCATCGCATTGCATTATATTTCATTGCGCTACATCAGATTACATTACGTTGCTTTGTGTAGCGTGCATTGCGTTGCGTTGTAGCATTGCGTAACATCACATCGCGTAGCATTACGTTACAGTGCATTACGTTTCCTTGCCTTGCATTGCATTCCATTATAATACATTATATTCCTATACATGGTGTGTATATTTAAAAAAAAAAAAAAAAAAAAAAAAAAAAAAAAAAAAAAAAAAAAAAAAAAAAAAAAAAAAAAACATATCTGCCTGAAATGCGGCAAGCTTCTTTTTAGAGCTATGGCCATTCAAGAGACACCACCGGAAGACTACTCATTTGGTGCGTCCCTGGCCCTAGTCTTGCCTCATCCTACCCACAGCAAGTAGGGCACTATCTCTCTCTCTCTCTCTCTCTCCACGCATATGGCCTCACCCATGCCGTGCTCCGCATGCTCAAACGCTCGCTACTAAAAAACGTCTTCAACTCACGATCACTACCCACTTCTTAAAACGAACATCCTCTCTCTCCCGGCCCCAAACTCGAATGGGCACCTGGCCGTCCTGGCCCCACATTCCATGCCCCAAGGCCCCCGCTCTTGGAGTGGAAGTCCACGTAGCAAAAAGGATTGAGCACTGCTCCGCAATCTCGCCCCTAGCCAGATTGCTAACATACAGGCGCAGGGGTTTTTCAGCAACCGACCGGGCGGATCAGGCACTTTTCAGCACGAGCATCGAACCGGCTTCTGGGAATGTCCAACAAGTTCCGGACGCTAGCGCCGCGCTGCACGCTTACTGCAACGAAGCGAAGGCAGTGAAAGGCGAGTTGCCGTGGATGCAGCGAAGCCACGTCGCAAGCACAAGAAAACAGCTGCTGGTATATAAAGCTTGTGGCCAACAACATAATAAACACAAGGCGCTCGCGAGTGTCTCCAAAACTACCAAGCTCTTCTAGATGGCCCACAGGTGCCGAAGCCGCTGGCAATCTGGGCCGGACATCGATGTTCGCTCCGAGCTCCGAGGCTGGGAAGACAGCCATCTTCACAACTCGACACGACCCACTTCCAGCTCCTCAGCAAAGCCCTTGTCTAGCTGGACCGCAGTGAATCCAGCTCACTTGAGCTGCGCGACTGCGAAGCCGGCAACCTTCAACTGGACTCCACAGCCGGCCCTTGTCGTCTCGTCTCCTGCACCTTAAAGCCAGCGCCCTTCAGCACCTCAGACTTGAAGCTGGCATGCCGCGGCTGCTCCACGCTGAAGCCAGCTGCCGCTATCTCTGGTGTATAGCCAGCCTGCCTCAGCTCCTTGGCGCTGTAGCCAGCCCTCTGCAGCCCCGCTGAGAAGCCTCCACCTCTGCCAGGAGCCGCGTAGCCCGCCCTCCTCACCTCCGCTGCGAGCCCAGCCCGTTTTAGCTTTGTGCCCAAGGCCGGCGGCCACCCTCAGCTGCGCCGCCGTGCTGCCAGCAACTCCTGCACCATTCGTACAGCTCTTCCTTGCAGCAGGCCCAGCATACGCCAGCTGTGCTCTCCGCAACATGCTTGCAAATGCTGGTCTGGTTCGTGGCATCAGGAAAGCGCCATCCATCTCAGGCACTGATTCCAGTTCTGTCAATGATCCGCTTCCATTCCTGCACCAAATTCAACCCTCAAAAAGGGCAATCAATGCCGGCTTCCTGTCGATGGGTTCGTCCGCAAACAGCTTGTCTTGTAGCCTCACCAAAAGCTCTTGGGGACCTCAACTGTGGCCAAGAGTTGGATGTCATACCCGCTTTTGAGAAGCTGCGATACCTGGAAGACTGAAGGCGTCGTGGATGCTGCAGAGAAAGCCGAGGCTGTGCGCGGTGGCCAAGCATGAAAAGGCTCACCAGCTCCTCCTTGAAACATGCCCTCCACAAGTGCTCAAGTACTCTACTCCATCGTGAAGTGACAGGTGCAAATGCTCTGTGGGCCAGGCTGCATTCACAAACTGGCACAAACGGACCAAATCTATTGACCCAACCCTGGAACATCAAAGATCATGGGCCAGGCAAGACCTTGACTTCTCCGACGTCTCCCATGTTTGGATGACACGGACACAACATGCAGGCAAGCAGCTCTCGATGTCTCACTGCAGCAAAGAGAAATATGTCTGTCATCGCAAAGTGGAGTAAGGGCACCAAGGGCTATGAACAAGGGTGTGCAACTGGCCTCATTATTTTACCATGATCAAAGTCACCCCCTAAGTGGTGGGTTAAAGGGAAACCCACCAAATTGCCTGACTTTGATAACCCCCAAAAACCGTGAAAATAATGGGCCTAGTACAACCACTCGATTTTGCGGCATATTTTTTGGGGCCAAGGGGGAGCCTTGCAGATCACCGGCTCGTACTCCACCAGCTGCAGGCCTTCCGTCTCCTGCGAGATTTGGAGAGACCCTCTGTCCGGATTCGGGGGCTTCCAACTCGGCAAATCCCGTTTTGGCCACATCACGCTCACGCTGGGAGCCGTTCCCCACAATTCGGCCCTTTGTTTCTTGTGTACGCCCTTTGTGCATCCAAGTCTTGCACACCTGGCCCATGGGCAGGCACATCGGATACCTGCGGGTTGGCATAGCTCCCGGTCTTAAAAGTAGTCTCCCAATGGGGAAAGGCAGCCTGGCGCTCAGCTCCTTGAACAATCAATTGCCTGGGCCTCCGGTTGCGGCAAGACACGCTGCTACATGAGCATTGTGATAAAGCAACTTATACATGTAGAGCGCTAGGTGAGGTTGCTTCTGGCCCAGTCAATCCATCAGAGACAACCAGGTTTCCTTCCCAATGCTGCGGTCCTTGAGCGGGGTGTACAGGCAGCCCAGCGGCACAATGATGCGAGTTGCATCCAACCTGCGAGGAAAGAAGTCAATGGTGGCCGGCGCCCAAAAAAAGACATGGCAGCTGGGCCGTGGCCGGCAAGAGCGGCGAAAGCAAGAAGCAACACGCATCTCTCCAAACCACTCCTTCCCAGCATCTGGAAGAAATAGGCTGAATATATGTTTCATCCTACAAAATGATATGATAAATCCTTTGCAGGCTGAATATATGTAAAGATCCCCCTACAAGATCAGACTCACGTGACTCATAGCGTTTCACCGACTTCAAGCGCCTGGTGCTGGGCCAAATGTTCCATGACATCCGCGTCCCTGTGACCTGCTCCTGCGATCTGACCTGCACCCAGTGTGACTCTGGCAATCTCTCGCAATGGACCAAGAGACTCGATCCGGAGAGATCTCTAGAGTGATTCAATAATGGGCACGTTCCAGAGGAGATTCGATCCGGACCGAGGGACATGTCCCACAGCCCTCCCTGACAGGAACCGGAAGAAGTCATGACAAGTGACATCGCACCCAAACTTCGCGCCCGGAAAGCAACAGGCAGGTTCACGTGCGATGGAAAGCAAGGATTAATAAACCCCTGGTTCAACATGAGAGACTCCTGCCAACGAGATTCGCGAGCAGTGCGCTCCCTAGAAGGGCGCAAAGAGCCATGGACGGACGTTCGTCAGAAAAAGCGGCAGCAACCATTGCATTTGACATGTTGGTTGAGAGCATGGCCTGGTTGCTTGGCTGAGGCATCAAACTGTATATAACTCTTGCTTCTATTGAAGGTACCACAATCACCACGACAATGAATAACTAACATCAACTTGCAATGAAGGAGGGGAAGAGGGCTTGTAGTTGTTTGCAGGTAGGCAGCTTGCACCCAAAAGTTACATGAGGCACGGTTGCAGTATGTCTTCTGCCCAAATGACATACTAATATAGCTGCGTGCGCCGTCGAGAGATACAATTGAGCAGCACTCCATACCCCATTGAATGTTGGCTCTACCAATATGGTTGTGGAGATTTGTCTGTTGGCCATACTACCCCGCATGCAACCAGGTAACTGAACCACCTACCAAATTGGCCAAAAAGGAATCGGTATGGGTCACTGCTCAATTCTGGGGCATCTGCATCCATGGTGACACACCACCCTTGGCCGCGGCCACACCGCCTGAGAAGCAGGAGAGAATACTCATTCTCTGCAACGAGTGCCAGTTCCGGCAAGATGGCAAAAAGGGCACGTTTGGGTGTGTCTTTCGATGAGAGAGCTCCCCAAACTGTGTGGTTTCCCTTTGATCACCCTTCAAAACAAATGAAGGACACATCCATGACTGTTCCAAACTAGTATGCCCCTTTAATATGTACCCAACGATAAAGCCTGAAGCATGCCCATAGCAACGTGTTCAGCGCATGGTCTGGCGAGGTTGTCGAATGGCCAATTTTAGCATCTACGGGTCCCTGCTAAGGGGCGACCAATGTCCATAACTGTGGGTCTCTCCTCGAACGTCCTGATTGCAATGACTAAGATGGGCTAAGTCGGAAAACCAGATGAAGTAGAGCAGAGCATCTATAGCGTTTTGCCTCCCAAGCATGGCAGACCAAGTCAGTGAAATGAAAGCCCCAGTCAGTTGAAAAGAAAGTAGGCTCAGAAAGGCATTGCCAAGGCATTGGACAATCACAGCAAGAACAAGTTAGACCTCTCTCCACGGACGGTGCTGACAAGATCAACGACACCAGGGTCGTCGCACCAGGTAGCAATCTCCCGGACGGGGCTCTGAGACCGGCAAATCCTTCAACTTTTGTTGCACAAGCAGCTGCCGGCTTTATTGTTTCCGTGCACTGCCTTCCCGCCAGGAGCCAAAGACAAAGGGGTTGCTTTGGGTTCGGCTCTGACGTCAGACTGCAACCTGCGTGGCACCTAACTCCAGCAGAATGGGAACAAATAAAACGGGATTTGCGGAGAAATGTTACCAAAAAACCATGGCGTGGAAAATTGAGTGGAGGCCGCTCTCGAAGACCACGCTTTTCCTTCCGGCACCTTTTGGGTTCCATGGGCAGGATGCGCGTGGCCCCGCTCCCTGCTCCCACGCATTTTCCCCGTCGTCCGCTGCCGAGTGGCTTCCACTCCGCGCCCGACTCTGCGCCAGGTCTACACAACGCTGAGCCACAATGGTTCAAGGCGCAAAGCGGCGGAGCTGTGATGCGATTGCCTCGTTTCTTTCGCTTCCACCAAAGGGCAATGGTTGTTCCCATTCTTCGGACCAAATGCCCAAAGTGAAGGAAATCTGTGTTGAGGGCCCAATGGGCTGCATCCACTGTCTCTGGCTTTGCATGGGCACTTTAAGCGAGACAACTTTGATACCATAGCCAGCGTTGTTTGATTGCAAGTCTCCGAAATGGGCGTCTTTTTTTGGGGATCCCCCCCCCAAAAAGAATGAGCGGTGGTCCGTTGCGTCCCCGAAAACCACCAAAAGTGGGTACCCTCAAAAAAAGACACGGGGACTAACTTGAATGCTGCGTAATTCGTCAGTACCCACACGCTGATCCTGTTTTTTCACGAACGCGGCTTCTGAGGCACAAGTATTGCACGAGCTTGGCTCGTTAGTGGGAAAATCTGCGCTCTCGGGGGGCGCCGCTGCTCGACCCTGAAGGTGCATCCTGGACGGCTTGTAATTGCAAACTGGCCTTGCAGCTCTCACGTCTCCAAATTGTAGGCATGGAGCTTTTTCACTGCCCCAGCACTTGTGCTCCCTGTCTTAGCAAACCAATCCAAAAACGAATTGCTAGCCCTTATCCGTGCACTTCCGGGGCTTGCACGCTCAGCACGCTCGACGGCCGTTGCCACACTTTGGAGCGCCGCAGCGCGCTTCCGATGGGAGGACGGCCCTTGCAGCATCCGCCACCCTCCCCCCTCCCCGAAACCCCGCTCTGTGACACGTTAGCTAGAATGGAAAAAGTGGCCTCAGAAAAGCCGGACAAAACAATTCCAACTGCTCAACTGCTAGGCAAACCCAATATGCAGCTATTTTTATATGGGGGCAAAACGTTTTGAGTGGCCAGCTTGCTAGCCACAGTCTCCTCAGGGCATTGCCCGCTGACAGGGGCACATATAAAGGAAGCCCTGGAGTGCGAATCCGTGCCAAGCCCAACGGGCTCCCTTCACTTCCGATCTCTTGGACACAGTTAAGAATTGGATCTAAACGTTGCAACAAACGCACGTTGCACCAGACATGGGCTTTCCGTTGCACCAGACTTGGACTTTGCAGGGGGACCTGGGCATCAATCATACTGTTAGAAAACTTCTGCTAAACAAAGCGACAAACCGCTGCGTTCGACAGCTCTGTTTCTGACACAGGCTTCGACCATCTTTGCCCCGGCCACCGGCCATACCCCTCTCGCCATGGGAAAAAACGGAGCCGAAATGCCCGTCAGACACAGAACTGGCCCTGGCACCAGACCTGGTGCAAAGTCGCCTTCGCTCAATGGCTGACTAATGCAACCCGGTGGATTCATAGCGATGGTTTCACCGAAAGCAAGGGATTCTCTTTTAAATGAGACACCCCCTAGTAATCAACCAGGGGCTTAGTAATTTTGGGTTCCAATTACCCCGGATGCAGGAATGCAGTCTGATCATGGCCAACAGTCGCAACAAAAAACTACACGGCAGCTCAGTGTTAGCGACCTCCTGGTACTGACTCTGGCAAGAGACTGCCAAACATCACCCAGGTGACGCTCATGCGTGTGAATGACACAAACCCTGGCTGATGTCCTCTGGTCAGTGCAAAATGATAGCTTACTGGGAGCATCTCCAAGCTTGCTGACACTTCCCATTCGGCCACTTAACCCACAGGCCCCAGGGAGGCCCAAACTCCGAGCAAGAAAAACTGCCAACCTGTGGGCGGGTGTCCCACTCGTGCGTATAGTCCTGGCGCGAGTTGCCAGTCAGCATCAGTTGTAAGGACCCTCCAACCACCTTTCGCCAACTTGGCCAAAAAAAAACATGCACCAAGGATGCTATGGTATCACAGCATGCGTCAGCTCACTGGCTCCGCCCTTTGTGTTGCTGTACAGCACGCCGCACCCACACCGCTTGCCCACCACGCGCATGCCTCAGACTCGAGGCCGGGAAGCTCCACCATCGGCAAATACCTCGAGGAGCGCAGCGCGGCAATGTGTCTTTTGATTATATGTTCCAGTCCCCACATAGGGGGGGTTGGGGGGAGGGGGTTCTACAGCCTGGAACATATATTGACGCCTCTTCATTTGGCCTCCAACCGCGTTCACATGTTTTCGTGCCGCCTGAAATGTGGTCGCTCGTGCGACTATCTCAAGTAAGGTGTTGACCGCTGGGCGGCCTTAAAGCTTTCTTAAAGCTGAGGGTGCGGTGTGAAGTCCCTACAATGAATCAACACTATTCGTCCGATTGGGTCAGCCACAAGAATCGGAACATGCCAAACTATCCGGATCCGGGAACGAACCAAGATGGGAAACGACTACAGGTGCCCATCCAAGGCCCCCTCCGTTGCAAGTCGAGCTTGGACTTCGTGTACAACTGCTGAACCTTCCGCCAACTCTGCGCGCGCAAGGAAATTGGTTCGGGGTTGGCAGCAAACATCTACAATTTGTCACCCCTTTCAGAGGGGTTCTTCGTTTGAGTGCGTAGCGGTGCTCCAAATGCCAAGTTTGGGTTCAGGAACCCTGAACATCGAACCATGAGACCTGATGGTCCGCCGGGGGTCTGCCGATAGAACGCAGACCATTCACAAAGCTTGCATCCCCTGCCAGGCCTCTTGCACGTTCCCTTCCTGAATGGCTTCCTCCATTCGGGTCACCTCGCTCACAAAGCTCTATGGCTGCGGCTTCCCTGGGCCATCGGCCTTCTTAGCAAAGGAGCGGATCACCTTGACCTGG